CCTACTGAGCAGGTGCCCAGGATGACTCGGTAGAAACATGCAGTTGAGGGTACGCGTCAGCAGATGACCAGAAGGGCCAGTCAGTGTACGAGTTCACCTTCCATCGCGCTTGGGAAACGTCCCGATCGACGTGTGGGCTCAGCAATTGTTGTTAGATGGCTTCGGAACCGTGCAATTCCCAGGGCTACGCCAAGATGGTCTGTAAACGGATGGAGAGTACCATTCAACGGTTGAGGCAATGTTGCGGTAGAGACCGCTGTCGGTACCGAAAGGCCCCCACCGTCAAGCGAGTTGCCGCTGTTGTCTAACGGTAAGGCGGGCCTGTCCTTCTACAGGAGGGATATTCGAAAATAGTCCAAAAATAGTCTGGGGATCATTTTGTTGACTATTTTGGAGAATTTTGGAAGTATTCTTGGAGTTTTTTATTTTTCGCCCAAAATCCCCCTGCAGGGGGACAGGCCCGACCTAAGTCTAACGCCAGGTAGGTACAGAAAGGCAGCTTCAGAAAGCAATGAACGCGGCGAGGTAGAACCCGCTCTTGTGCATACGTGGCGTTGGCTTGTTGAATAGTGCACGTCGGAGGTTCGAGCACCTACTTTGCGGGGTATGAGGGGAAGTAAAGTGCCCTTCCAGATCCTCCAGTCAGTGGCAGAAACGACAACCCAGTGGCACCTTCTGCACATTCTGGAGACGCCTCCGGAATTCATCGCGCCATGCCGTGCTCAAAGTGCCTCTCGTCTTCCTTCCCGTGTTTCCCTGCCTCGCCGTCCCCACAAGCGTGGATCGTGTCAGGTGCAGCGGCCACTTAGGGGGGAAGGAGCTTAATGGAACGAGGAGGGAGGATTCCAAGTACAGGTCCTATAATCCCAGCCTCTCCTGCACAGGCAGGACAAAGTCAGGCGAGCAATCAAATTCATCACGTTGTGTCAGGCTTCAGACATCAATGCAGTTGCTCCAGGACATGGCAGAACTGGAGGGTCAGGGGCCTCTTCCTCCCATATAGCCAGTCATCCGTTGCTTCCACTGCCTGTGCGCATTCAGACAGCCAGGCTAGACAAGCGGCTCACACGTGTGGCGCGAGCGGAGGTGGGAGTTCAGGGGCGGTGAATGTAGATGTTGGGCTACCGAGCTGGGTAACATCAGTGAATCTAGATGCCTTGCGGGGCAGCTGTGCCGATCCAGGCTCCCCGGCACGGGAAGGACAAAGTAAATTGGGCACAGTTGCATTCGGATGTGTGAGTCATGCCCCTCCCGGTTTCCCTCGCTCCACTCCGAGCTCAGAGCAATGGTTGGCATCCAATGCAGAGCGGTAGTTGGCACCCAACGCCAGTGGCGTAGGCCATTGCGCATCTCTTGGTTGATCCTCGCACCAGCGTGTTGCTGCAAGAACTTCGAAACGTACAAGCTGGTGTCTAGGAGACCTCTCTGCTTTCAGGATGGGGGTTGATGATGCTGGGGGTGGTCGAGGAAGTTGGGCGCAAGCTACAGCTCAGCAATGTAGCTTCGCCAAGGCTTGGCTGACCCTGAGAGTCAGGGACTTCGCCTCCCTCCTTCTTAGTGTTAACTCCCTCCTCCTCCTCCTCCTCCTCCTCCTCCTCCTCCTACTCCTCCTCCTCCTCCTCCTCCTCCTCCTCCTCCTCCTCCTCCTCCTCCTCCCTCAGCATCCGCAGCGCCCCTGGCTGGCACTGCTTAGATTCTCCCCGAAGCGAAAGTCAAAAAGAACATCTGCCCCCCTCCCCGCACGTCCCCGGCCCTCCCCACTCCGCACAACTCCTCCGCACTCGATCCTCCCCTTCCCAATCCTCCCCACGCTTCCCCACTCCTCACGGCTTTCCTTTCCTCCCCACTCCCATCCGCTCCTCTACTTCTCTTTTCCCTCCAAATCCCCCCCACTCCACTCAACCGCACTCCTAACGTATGTTCCCCTCCTCCGCATTCCTCTCCCCTCCGCTATCCCCGACACTCCTGCGGAGGATCCCTCCGCACCCCTCGCCGTTGTCAGCCTCCGGAACCCTCGCCAGGCCACGGCACTATCAAAAGCGACTCGGGACAGAAAAGCTGGTCCTGAGCAAGAGAGCGCGGGTTCAACGAAACAAGACACCAGGTCTCTGCGACCGAAACTGCTGCCCCCTGCATCGGGGGCAACGTTAAGGGGATTATCCCCAGGGGGGGGGGGGGGGGGCCGCGCATCGATTCCGAGTTGTCCTTTGCGGCAGGGGCATGATAGCCCGCCCCGCCCAAGAGCATGTTGTTTCGTTGTCGGGGGCATGTCGCCGATCTATTGGCGATGTCTCGCCGATTCGGGCTTGGTGCTCCCCCCCTGAGCCACAGCCCCCCCCCCCATCGTTGCCCCTCACACCTGTGTCGGCCGAAGGAGGGATTGGGAAGGGGGAGGTGCGAAATCTGCTGCATGCCTCGCAGAAGGAAAAAGCCCAAAAGCAGAAACCGTTGGCACTCCACGCGGATCTCTGGGATCTGCGCTGGACCCTCCTCTCCTGGCGCGCTCCGCGCGCCAGGGGCAGCGCAGGAGGCGCCGCGGGGGGGGGGGGTCCCAGCGCAGATCCAGGAAGCCCGCGCGCAGCGCCAAACGTCGCTGTTTGTGGGCTCCTTCCTCTTCTCGTGCCGCTGGTCTCGGCCCCGCCGCCGGGGCAGCGCCCTCGACAGGTGGGCGCCTCCAGCGCCGCGAGGCGCCGGGAAGCCTTGGCCGCGCTCGAGCGCTGCCAGAAGTGTCCCTGGCCCGAGGTGTCCCCAGGCCTCCTCCTCCTCCTCCTCCTCCTCCTCCTCCTCCTCCTCCTCCTCCTCCTCCTCCTCCTCCCCAGGCCTCCTCCTCCTCCTCCTCCGGAGCACCCCTCACGAGGTCCAGGGTGCCCCAGGATCACCAAAATGGAGCGACGGGTTAGAGGCACCTTTGGCCAGGGACACATCTAGCAGCCCCCGATGCGTGAGCTGAGTCGCCACCCCCTCTCCCGAGCCAGCCCCTTGCCGAGCCCCCTGACAATTGGACGCCACGAGGCAAACAGGGGAAAGAGGAGCTCCCCTGAGATCCGACGTTGCCAAAACAGTGCAACATCGTGAAGAATCACGACTGGAGAACTAGACCCCATCCTTCAGCAGCATTTCTCAAGCCGAATCGATCTGAGAGGTTCCCAGGACCCGGGAGAGGGGGCACACGCGCGGTGCAAAAAAAATGCAACGCCCGGATCTGTGGGAAGGGGAAGAGTCGGTTACGCCTAAGAGTAGCCCGTCGCCGGAGTGATAGTTGGTCCAGGTCCGCAGGGGACCCACCAGTAAGGGCAGACGCGCTTGGATTGTTTGGAGTTGGCCTCTCCCGCAGTCCCCTGAAGCCGCGCACCAGAGGTCACTCCCTCCCAGGGTCACTCCTTCAGTGTAGCCATAAGGGCTGACGCGCTTGGATTGCTTGGAGTTGGCCTTCCCCGCAGTCCCCTGAAGCCGCGCACCTGAGGTCACTCCCTCCCAGCGTCACTCCTTTAGGGTAGCCGACGGAGGATCGGGGGCGGACAGACCTCCTACCCCGACACGTCGATTAAGGAATTGGCCGTCTTCGGTTCGCGAGAGGGCGTCGCGGCCGTCATCTTTGCGGGTCCAGGCCCGTCGGTTTCGGCCCCAGGCCGTTCTCATTGAGGGGAGGCTTGCCAAAGGGAGGTTTGTCCACCGCCGATCCTTTCGTGTAGCCGACGGCGGCGACGGCGGGGACGAAGGACGTGATGGAGGGAGGGAGGGAGGGAGGAAGGGAGGGAGGGAGGGAGGGAGGGAGGCGTCTTGCCCCGCGGGGCGCGGCGGCGGCGGCGCCCGCAGGCTGGGTGCCGTCGGTGTGCGTGGCACGCCAGCGCTGAGAGCCCCGCGGGCAGAGCCTCGTAGGGGGTGCCCCCGGGGCTGGGCTGCGCGCCCCTGCCCCCCCTTTCTGGTGCTGCCAGAAGGTTCGGCGCGTCGAGCGAGGGGGGGGAGAGTCAGAGTTAAGTCGGGCCTGTCCCTCGACAGGGGGAGTATTCCAAGATAGTCAAAAAATAGCCTGGGGATCATGTTTTTAGCATTTCGGGGGCATAGTGTTGGGCATTGCTGGAGTCTGTTTAATGTTTCGTCCAAAATCTCCCTGTAGGGGGGACAGGCCCGACTCAAAGTCAGAAGGAGAAGGCCTTCTCAGAAGGCTCGGGAGCCCCCCGGCCTTCCCCGAAAAGCGTTAGAAGCTTTCCCCGAAGACAGAGAGCTGCTCAGAAGGCGCGAGGGCTTCTGAGAAGCTCCTCGGTTCCCCTTCTCGCTCGCCGCCGAGAAGTGCCCCTGGCCCGAGGTGCCCCCAAGATGTCCAAGGAGGCCCCCCACGGCCTCCAGGGCACCCCATCACGAGGCTCGGAGGGCCCCAGAGGCTCCAGGATGGAGCGACAAGCTAAGAGCACCGTGGGCCCTGGGTACCTTCTGGCAGCCTCCGACTTCGCCATGGGCACAAAGCCCAGCGCGCCGCGTGCGCGCAGATTCGACCAGCTCGCGACCAGCCCTTTGGTCGCCCTCACCTCATTTTTAAGCCTGGAACAGATCCTTGTCCTTAGCTGTCCTGGTATGCTCGTTTTGAGGCACAGCACGTACCGTGTTCAAACGTCCGTGTAAACACGTTGCGTGTTGATTTGGCGCGTGTTGGCCCACGCTACTACGAACGTATCGCGCCAAACGTACGTACTCGATCTTCGTGTTCAATTCTGTGTCAACACACTGCGGGCTGCGTGTTGCGGGTTGCATACTGGGGCAGCTGAGCCTCGTCTTCTTTGCCAGCCTGGAACCCTGTCCCTGCTCAGATCTCGATGAACAAACAATGACGTAAACATAAGCTGTTTGGATCGGCGCTAGAGCCCCATGGCGGCGCCTCTGGCGCCGCCCCTGGCGCGTTCCTTGCGCCAGGAAGAAGGTCCAGCGCCGTTCCAAGAGATCAGCGCGGACCTCTGGAAGTTCACGTGTTGCGTCATTGCCTTGTTCCCCGAAGACCAGCAGCGCCTGGCCTCGGTGCCGACCTCGGGGCTCCACAGCTTCTGGGTGGGTCGAGCGGGGGTCCTTCGCGGTCCCGAGGTCGTCATCGCACCAGGCCTGTCAGTCTCACGAGCAGGCACGAGCTCCAGGCTGGTCTCGGTTGCCTCTTGGCCGGCGCAGCGTCCGGAGCCGAGCGCTCCGATCGTCTCCAACGGCGCCGTGCCCTGGGCTTGCACCTCGCGGCAGCATCGCGGGCCTTCCATCTGACACGTGCAAGAGTGAGCTTTCGCCCGAGTGACCGTCAGTGCGGGCACACAGGAGTCCTACCAGCACTGGCCGGCGCGATCGGATTGCTTGGGTTTGGCCTCCCCCGCGGAACCCTGCAGCCGCGCACCAAAGGTCACCCTGGCCCATGGCCACTCTTGCGCCTGGCCGATTCCATCTCGCCCGATGAAATGCAACGCTAAGTGGGGATATGGTCAGGAACTTTTAGTTAGCCCGTCACGCCGCCGGTCCTTGGCCACCGCGCTTCGGCGCGGCACGCTTGCAACGCCCTGGTCCCCAATGGTCACCCCCCCAGCTCTTTCAGCCTCCCGAGAAGCGAAGCGACGCGCTTTCCGCTTGCAGGGCGCAGCGTGTCGCCGGCCGGGGCCGCCGCAGCGACAGGCTAAGCAACAGTTCCTCACCGTAGGCCCCGGGGGGGAAGCGCATCGGCACCAAATCGCCCATCCATCGCCGGTGGGGGCCTGATGGCCCACCCCGCCCAGGAGCGGTCGGCTTCGCTAGCGGGGCCCCATCGGCGATCTATCGGCGACGTGTCGCCGATTCCAGCTGAGCCAGTCTCCCCTATTGTTCGTCCTCACCCGAAGGACGCAGAGGCGTCGTCTCAGTGCAGGCGAACGTCGACACAAGTTTGAACGGTCTCGTGTAGCCGCGTTATCCCTGCGGAAGGCGCGCGCGCGCGGGCCAACACGCCCGGGCGGCCTGGCCGGCGTCACACTCGAGCGGGTGGGTCCTGCTGCGGAAAGACCGCCTAAGGGACGAGGGGGAGGGAGGTGTTGGGCAGGGCCAGGACCAGGAGAATCATTCCAGAGCGTTCCAGGGCGCTCTGATATGTCCTCCAGAACCGCCCGCCGGATATCAGAGATCCCCGATTTGCCCCAGTCCGATTTTGTCCTGGTCCTGACTTCGTCTTGGCCAGCTGGTGGGGGCAGCCCCCGCCTCCGCCGTCGCCATCCGGAAAAGGGCGTGGTGTCGTAGAGGGCCTGGTCCGAGCAGGTCATTTTCCCTCGCCTCTGCCTGCGCTTGCCGAACCAGCTCACGCTGTCCCTGTCGGCCCCGCATGCTCTGTCCCACTCTTGCACTGAGCCTATGGAAGGTCACCTGGCTTCCTTACGATGGTGGGCGCAGCTGTCTGCACCGGTACGCCACCCCATTCCTCTTGCTCTCCCCACCGTCATGCAGATGTCGTTGCGCATCCTTTGCTCGAAACCTGGAACATATACACTACCAGTGGCGGGTTGTTTTTTCAATCCCACGACTTTTTGAGGTTCGGGGACGACGTCGGGGTGGTGTGGTGTATCTTTTTCCCCCCTTTTCCCGGGAAACAACGACAAACGTATACACCAGGGTCCCGCATGCACCAGGATCCGCGATCCTGTGCGAATGCCAGCACCGGGTCGGAAAAGGCGTCGGTGTATATAGAGATCGTTTCCCTCCATCTGCCTCCGCATGGCAGACTGGCGAGGCCGAGGACTGCTCGGCAGCGGGCCCGCATCGGAGCAGCCCGGGAGTGGCAGCGGAGGGGTGCGGCAGCGGAGGGCGACACCCAGAGGCACCAGCTGGTTGGCGCAATCGCTGCGCGCCGGGCCTCGGGCGTGGGTGGCGCTGCTCGTGCCGTGCGCACCGTGCGGGGCCAGGCAGCCGAGTAGATTTGGCATCGCTCGGACGTGTGCATTTTTTCCCGGCGAGAACGATCAAGGAGCATCCTTGATCATTTGGCGAAAAAACCACGCACGAAACTCAAAAAACACAGGGAATGGACGTCCGAGCGATGGCCAGTGGAGGGATGCTCTGGGAAGCAGAGGGGCCGGAAGAGCTGTCGAGCCGAGGGCGACTTCCAGGCCGCGGCCGACCGTGGCGGAGGCCGAATCCCAGTCTTGTTGGCGCGGAGCCTCTCAAGGCCTGCCCATCAACTGGTCGATGTTTGATTGCAGGTTGCTGGGATGTTCCCCCCCACCCTCTCCCCCAAGCGCGGCGGAACCCGATTTCGATTCCAGCGCACTGCCCACCTAGACGAGGACAGTGCAGCTCACCACTGTCGCGGGAAGATACTGGGCAGGCATTGCCCTGCTGCGGCAGGTGGCGAGCACGGGGAAAGGGGTACGTAGTGATGCTGCTGGCTGGGGGGGTTCTGTTCTTCTTCCGCCCCTCCCATCTCTTCCATTCCCCCGCCGCCACCCGAATCGATAAGGGATTTCTGAGTTCATCCTCCTCTGTAGCCCACGTTACTCTTCAAGGCACGGCATCGGGACTGGCCAGCGCACACAGGTGGGAGCCTGCGCGCCAAAACGACTGGATTTGTAAAGTCTGTTATGCGCGCAACAAGGCCGAGCTTCACCGCCAGACGGCGGCACGCCAGGGACACAACCCAGCGCTCAGCCCCATGGTCGGCAACCCCTGGTAGCGCAGGATCGATGTGCATGAATATGCGCATAGATTAGCGACACCCGTGCAGTTCGTGCGGTTGTATGTCCCAGGGCCAAGTGCCTCATGGAGGAGTGCACGACCACGCTTATGCGCCCCCACAAAGAGCACTATGGCACTACTCATGTGCCAGCGGCAGCATTCAGATCCCGCGAAAGGCGATGTTTGAGTGCTGAACGGCCATTCTCTGATCCCCAGTTTATTCTTAAGCGCGAACCAAGGACGCTACAGGTCCAACCCAAGTCTTCCATCGTCTCCGGTATCCCTCTCTCTTCCTCCATCATCCTGTCTCCTCTCTCCTCCCCCCTCTCCTCCTTCTCTATCCTCATAACCCCGCTCATCCTCATCCAGAACTAGCATACATGTCGAAGACGCCAACGGTGAATCTCCGCCGCCCCCTGTCTTCTGGAATCGCCCATGTGGCCGAGCGTTGTGGCAAGAGCTCTGCCAAGCTAATTATCTGACCATGTGTTCCCCCAGCCGTTGTGGAAACCCTTCGGGGAACACTTGGGGGGGGATGGCGGGAAAGATCAGGAGGAGGAGGAGGAGGAGGAGGAGGAGGAGGAGGGGGCATCCTGGAAGCCTCTGGGGGCACTCTTTGGGCCTCCTGGGAGCTTCCTGAAAGCCTCTTAGAGGCATCTCGGGGCATCCTTTTGATCTCTTAGGGGCCTTTGGAGGCTTCTCGGGGGCTTCCTTGCCGGTCTTACGGCGTTCCTGGCTCGCTTGACGCCGTCGGAAGCCGTCTTGGGGGCCTTTGGGCCGACGTGGGGCCCTCTTGGGGTGCTCCGGGGCCGTCTTGGAGGCCATCTTCGGCGTCTTGGAGGCCTTCTGGGCCGTCTTGGGGCCCTCTTGGGGCCGTTTGGAGGGTCTCTTGGGCAATTTTGGAACATATTGGAAGTTGTTTGGGCGATCTTGGGGCGATCTTTGGGGCCTCTTGGGCCGTGTCGGGCCGTCGGAAGGCCGAAAAGAAACAAATGCTGAAATCCCTCAAAAGATTTTTTACACAATCAATGATGGGGGGCCTCTTGGGGGCCTTGTGGGGCCTCCTGGGCTCTCCTTGGGGCCTCCCGGGGGCCCCTTCGGGCGGAAGGCCTGGATGTTTGGTGCGTGTTCCCTCTTTTGGGCCCCTCTTGAGGCCGTCTCGGAGCTGTCTTGGGCCGTTCGGGGCGCCTCTTGGGCCGTCTTGGGGCCCTCTTGGGCCGCTTTGGAGCAGCCCTCGTGGAGGCTGCTTGGGCCGTCTGGGGGGGGTCTTTGGGGCATCGACGGCCGTCTTGCAGCGTCGGGATGCTCAACGAACGCAAACACCCAAATCCGTCAAAGACCTGAGGCCTCCTGGGGCGTCTTGGAGGCCTCATGCGCCGTTTGGGGGCCAGTTTGAGCGTCTTGGAGTGATCGTTCGGCGACTCGGGGTCCTCTTGGGCCGCCTTCGGGGCCTCCCGTGGGCCTCTCGATGAGTCTTCCAGCCCCCTGGGACCAAACAAATCTCGCGCCACCACCCCCGGGGCCCAACAAGGGGGCACGCGCGAAGCGCAGGGAGATTTGAGAGCGAGGGGCCGACCCCTTGGGAAGACCCTTCCGGAGCGAGGATGGAGGCTTTGAGGATTGGCTCGGAACCTGAGGACGCGCCCATTTTGTGCCCAGAGGCACGGGGGCGGACCTCCTCCTCCCTCCCCTTCTCCATCCTCAGCATGATCCTCCTCATCCTCCCTCCCTCTCCCGCCCCCTCCATCATCAATCCTGAGTGTGCTCGTGATGCTGTTGCTACTCCTCCCTCCCATTCCCCTTCTCTTCTCCAGCATGTCTCCTCCCCCCACCCAGTGTTGACCAGAATGCCTGCAGAGTTCAGGAGAGCAGCCCGCCGTATGATTTCCGAGTCAGCAGACCGACTAGACAAGTTCGCTCGCGGCATCCCTCCTCATCCTGACCAGGCCTTTTTCATGGGTCAGGTAGGCCCATCAGTGCGGACATCATTGTCGTGGATAGGCGCTGTTTGACGTCAGTGTTTTTGAGGAGTACGCACGCGTCGTTGGCAGCGCTTTCTCTGTTCAGGTCCCAGGGTTGCGTTCGGCTTATTTGGGCGGTGGCAGTCGACAGTTCTGACAGACAGCGCGCGGCCAAGTATCATGGGGTTGTCCCTCGGAAGGTGTGACCACGTCGGGACGTTCAATACGAAACGGAATACGTTTTCATGGTGGCCAACGAGTTCGTCTTAGGTTCATTGCAGGCCAATTCCGACTGCACACGATCACTGGTTTTGCTGTCACAGAATCAATGCAACTTGCAGCCAAAGTATACTGCCAGCCCACATGTGGAAACGCACGGCGATGAATGATGACTTCTGCCGAGCGTCAATCCCTCAGGTCAAAGCCCACACCAGCATGGCCGACGCCACGGGCGGCATCATCAGCGACTTCGATCGATAATGCAATTTTGAAGTGGACGAGTTTGCCATATCTGCGACCAGCTTCCACACTGCCAGCGAGGAGTACGTCAGGTTCGTGCGCGGGGGGCAAGAGGTTTGACAAGATGCTGACCGCTTGAGCTGCCCAGTTCGAGATAAGGTTCTACGAGCAAGACGAATATCGCCTTGAGTTTTCACAGAGCAAGACGAATATCGCCTTCGCCGGGCAGGATGATGACAGCCCGTTTACACCCCTGCATGACGCTGTTGCTCGTGCGCCAGAGTTCCCGCGCCCCTGGCCCATTCAGAAGCATGCATTGGGTGCCCTATGGACGGAGAGGAGCATTCGTTCATCTTCTGCACTAGCTGTTACATGTGCCCGGACACTAGCAGCCAGACGCATCGAGGTCTGGATCATATATGTTGTTGCGGCGAAGGAGGCGGTGGGCGCATCGTGGAGAAGGCCCGCCATTTCGAGAAATTTCGACATCCGCAAACCTCGAATACAGACCCGACCGCTTCATTCTCGACGGTTTCCTGAACGAGTGCGCGCGGCCATGCGCAGGCCCAAAGGACGGGCGGACTCTCCGGCAGAAGCGCCCCAGCCAGCCCCCGAGGCCGAGAGGTAAGATGGGGATCGACCCGCAGAGACATCTCGACACTGCCATCATTTTCAAGGGTCGCGGCATCCAACGCTCCGAAGCTTCGGGGCTGGGAGCCCCGCGCGGCACAGACAGCGACGACGGCGTCGACTGCGACGCGGCTCGAGCACCTGTGCCTAGAGGCCAATAAGTCCTGAGTCGCCGCTTC